TGCCCAATCTCGAAAAGTAAGCTCCACATACAAACATCCAGACCAGGTATACAAAGACGCTGGGAGACTAAACTACACTATGCAAAACTTCACACGCCCAAACTTAGTTACCATGGTATCACCCCCGCGCTCTCCCAAAACCACAAAAACATACAAAGCCCCTCGCTTTCGCGTTTCATCCACCAAAAACACCCTTACAAATGTGCCCGCCCCTCCAGCCTCCTCCTCCTCTTCTGCTCCGCCATATTCCGATTCAAGTTCCTCTCCTCCTCCACACTCAGCCTCGCGGGCGCCGCCACCCCCTTGCCCTTGCCCTTGCCCTTGCCCTTGGTATCCTCCCCCCTCAACGCCTCCTCAAACAGCTTCCGCCCCAGCTCGTCCGTCAGCTTCACCACCCTCGTGCTGACCGTCGCGCCGTCACGTCTGTTCTTGCCCTCCCGCCTGCTCGACGCAATCTTCTCGGTAAAGTCCCACAGCCGGCCCGACGCGAGCAGGCTCTGCGTCTTTTCGTCGCGGTCGGGGCGCCACTCGGGCGCGATCCGCAGCCTGGGGGGGACGCGCGCGTCCTTGGACTTGACCACTTGGATGATGCCCTCTTCCTCGAAGCGCTGGTACGAGTTCTTGAGGGTCTCCTTGTTGACGGCTTCAAAGTACGAGAGATCGCCTTGGTGGTAGAGCGTTTTGCCTAGCTGTTTACACACACAGGTGCGGTTAGCTAACTGCGGGAGGATTAGAGATGGGTTTAGTAGTGGCGAAAACGTACCAGCTGCGCACTCTCCTGCGCCTTGGACACCGGCACCCAAATGTCATTCTTCTGGCCGCGCGGCGGAGACAAACCCATGAGGGAGACGGCGGCCAGCCAACTCGCCTCGATGAATGGCCAAATCAGGAAGCAGTAAAAGTCAAAGTTCTCCCGCCCAACGGCGCGCTCCGCACCGGACAAGCCGATCTTGCTCATGTTGCCGAGCTCGTCGCGCTCAATGAGAATGACGTTGTCCGCCTCCAGGCCGAGGAGCGTCTTCTCCAGGTTCGTGGCAAGCCCTTCGCCCGAGTAGATAAACTCGCCGCGGAAGAGCGAGGACAGGAAGAAAACCTGGTCCATCAAGTCCTTGTACGGGATGTCTTGGATCGCTGGGCCGCCGCCTTGCTTGACCCGTGTGTACAGCGCCGCGGCGACGAGCGCCTCCGAGATGAACAGGTGGATCGTCATATTCCGGTAGAAGGAGAGCTGGAAGCGGTCAACGGCAAAGTACGTCCGCTCGGCGAGCCCGTCGACGACGCCGACGAGGTCCTTGCCCAAAACTTCAAGGCCGCGCTCAATAACCTCGGCCGTCGGCGCGTTGCCAAAGTGGGCGACCCTCCCGCCCTTGGCGAGTACCCGATGTGAGAGCCAGTCGACGCGGCGGATCAACTCGGCCCTCCCAACGCCACGGCCACGGAGCGTGAGGAGGACGGTTCCGATCAACGCCGTGGGCATCACGACCGACACGGCATTGATATCGGCCAGCACCTTGTACCCCAGGGTCCGCAGCAGCTTCTGGCGCAGGGCTTGGTTGTTCATGTCTTTCCAGTTGATTTCAATCGCTGTCGGGATCTTGGACAGTCGCGATATCTGCTCGTTGATGAAGCCCCGCAAGCTCCATGGCTCGTGGAACCGCACATCCACTCTCCCCAGCTTCAGTGAGAGCACGCTAGAGCCTCCCGTGAGGAAGTCGGTCAGGTTTTCCTTCTTCTTGGGCATGCCAAGAAGCTCGGTTACGTAGCCTTCGGTCTCGATGACCTTGTCGTATTGTGTGCTCACGGGGCAGATGATGGCATCCTCAACTCGGCCAGACAGTAAGCTGTCGAGAACAAAGCTGAGGATGCCAAACTTGGGCGGCAGCAGCTTTCCCGTCCGTGACCGCCCACCTTCGATGAAACACTCCAAGTTGTACCCTCCTTGGAGCATGACGTCGATGTAGGCCTGGACCAACGTCGTGTAGAGCTGGTCATCGCCAAAGGACCTGCGAATGTACATGGCTCCTGGACGGCATTTAGCTTTCGATTCATATGGAGTTGGGTGCGTCTTACCAGCATGCTGGAGGAAACTTCCCACTACCGGGAAGTTCAAGTTGTCGCCGGCGACCACAACTGGGAGCGCAAGCCCAAGGCGGTAGCATAACAGCTGGAGAGAGACGTAGTCGACGTGGGATCTGTGACACGGCAAGAAGATGATACTTTGCTTCTTCTTTGCGGCTTCTGCGGCCACAGCCCGGAGCCGTAGAACCTCCTCGCTCGACACATGGATGCCCTGGTGGTAGGCCCTCAGGAGCAGCTGCGTCACCAGGTAATAGGCGCCTCGAATGAAGTGCTTGCTCTCGAATTTGCAAATCATGTCGTCCGTCCATTTCTCGGCCAACTCCTGGAGACTCTGCACGACGGTCGCGCGGCGCTGGGCTTTTCTCACGACGGCGTCTTTTTCGTCGCCGTTGCCGAACCGGCCCTCCTTCTCCTCGACATCGACGCGTGCGTCGGCCAGCTGAACGATCTTGGTCTGCAGCAGAGTGGCCGACATGATCTGGGTCTTTATGTGATCCGAGAAGCCTGAGTAGAAGATGGGCTGGCCAACAAAGTCATCGTAGGCGCGCCAGCCGGAGCCGGAGAGGTAGAGCGACAGTTCGCGGAGGAAGCTGGCATGACCCAGGTTAGGCAATGCCAGGACCTGAAATGTATCTGGAGAACCCATACCGTAATGGCTCCGACCGGAAGCGGGCCATATGCTTCATGAGAGCTTCCTCTTTGCCTTCTGCGCTGAGTGCGGGCTCGACGAAACCGCTGGGCGTCAACGTGATGCGATCGCCCAGGATGCGCAGGTCGGGCGCAGAATCGCGTTGGTCGTCTGACGCCATGGCGGGCGGTTGTTGGAGCCGACGTTCCCAACAATTTGCTTCGATGATGCGTTTCCCCTCTCTGCCCTCTCCCCCTCTTTGACCTCGCGAAGTTGCAGTGCAGGGTGCAGAGTGCAGAGGGCAGATCGTGAGACGTCCAATTGGCGCTGGTAGGGTGCCTGTAGGTGCCTGTCGAGTGCCTGTCGAGTGCCTGTACCCAGTATATCTGTCAATGTGTTGCTGCCGGGCAATGCCATGCACTGCTAGCACATGGTCGGACGAGGTGAAGTGGTGGTCGGATGGAGACGGAAGCCGGGCGATTGCCGGCGCTTTCCACTGCTTCCCGGGGGTTGGCTTGTGATGGCAGCAGCAACAGGGATGCTGCTTCAATCAAGGCGCTGCCCATGGGGATGGTGGGGTACTGGGCCGAGGTTAGTCCTAATTTGGGATAGCGCGGGGCTAACGTTGCTGATGGCTTGCAGCTTCGCATGCGGTCCCTTCAGAAGCTCCATCCATTGCAGCAAAAAGTTCCAGGACCAAGAAAAGCAACCTCAACCACCGCACCCGCCGCAGCGCCTGCCACCCAAAACATGGACACCAAACCCAAAAAAGACCAACCCATCGCCGCCATCCTCCTCGCGCGCGCCCACGAACCCGACGAAGCCAACAGAATTTTCACCGAAAAGATCCAGCAGCGCCCGCTCTTCCTGTCCGCATCCTCCCCACCCCCAGCCAACGCCCGCGCCGCCCGCCGCCGCGCCCAAGAAAAGAAGAAGCAACAGCGCAAGAAGGCCCTCAAGCCCAAACCCCTCTCCGCGACCCAGCGCCGCAAGCTCGGCCTGTACGACGTGCCGCGCGCGCCGCAGAAGCACGCCCTCTTCGAGCCGCTGCACCAGCTCTGGCTGAGATATGTCCGTGAGATCTTGGGTAACGAGGTGTACACGGGCGGGGAAGGCGCGGCGGCCAAGCTGGCAAGCGCGGACTTCCACGGGGCCGGGGTCGAGGTGGTGCGCAGTGGGTGTGTGAGTCGGGTGGGGATCAAGGGGATTGTGATCAAGGACTCCAAGTTTGCGTTTGAGGTTGTTACGAGGCGGGATCAGGTCAAACTGGTGCCCAAGGAGGGCACTGTGTTTCGGTTTGAGGTTCCGGTGCCTGTGCCGGGGGTGAAGGCTGGGGAGGGTGAAAAAGAGAGGGAGGGGCCGGTGCAAGGAGGAGAGACGCCAAAAATGGTGTTCGAAATCCACGGCGAGCAGTTCCAGTTCCGGTCGGCTGATCGCGCGTCGAGGAAGTTCAGGTCACACTTTTCGAAGAAGCTGTGATGGCAAGCAACCGCGCAGCTTGTTGAGACTGTCGGTGCTGAGACCAACGGGAGGAGTGTAGGGTGCCTTCCTTGGAATCGACCAGGAACATGGTCGTTCTTATCGGCTGGTCTATTTCCGGCGCACGAAGTATGCTTCCTTCTTATGTCGCACCGTCGCTCGCTCACACCCGCCACAGACTGCTAAGGGACAGCAAACAGCTGTGCGTCCTCTACAGCGCCATGCCCAGTTACTCTCTACGCGGGCGAAGACTCCTAGCCCGACCATGGTGGTCTTCAAGGCCAGAGAAAAGCATGGAACCTCGCGCTCGAGTCAAGGACTTTGGCCAAGGTCATTCCGCCGTAACCATTGAAAGTTAAGATCCTCGACAGCTCGTGGGTTAAACGGGAGGCCATGCGTGGAGGCCCTGTCGCCCAGCGCGTGGCAAGGCCACCGAATAAGTGATGTCCAGGACGTCGACATGGCTCGGAGTCCCGAATCAGCCTTTGGGCGCAGTATCTGGCCGGTCACTGCGCCGGGTAACGGGACGACTCGCTCACCATCATGGGGCAGCGTCATACGGATGTCGCAGACTCCGAGCGGACTAGCCAGAGATAGAAGAATGGAAGAGAACAAGAGAGCGGGCTCAGGGGAGCACGATACATCAAGCCTCCCGGCCCTTAACAACGGCGCCATCTTCGGGGCGTCACCCTGAAGTGGTCGTGAAGCCGCAGTCCTGTACAGAGTAGTGCTGCTAACAAGCAACCAGACCGAGTTTACGCAACAACAGAGCAAAAAGCAGACAAGCTCCCGAGAGAGATGGAGAACAGACAAACGATCCACCCAGGGGTCGAACCTGGAACCTCCTGATTACTCGATCCGCTCCGAATGCTCGGAGGAGGAATCGTAGTCAGACGCTCTGCCATTGAGCCAGCGGACCTTGTTGAAAACGGGTGGTGGAAATTTGGGTGAAGAGTTTGCAAGTGAGGGTGGGATCTGTGGGGCCGGTCAGGGGTGGTCGCAAATGCCGCCATGAGTGGAACGAGTCATGACCTGCTTGACGGCCTCCGTTGCAATGTTATGTTGCCAGGAGATCAGTGTTTGTGATGGAAACTGTACCGAATGATTCGAACTTGGCGTGTTCTCTGCTGGGCATAGCATCTTGGTTCCGAGGTGAAGTAAAATCCAGAATCAACGCAGGTAGTCTACGCGTGACATCGCATCCAACCCAGTGGCACTGATGCCAACCCTTCCTTCTAAGAAACAAATCTACAAGCTCGCCGGATGCGCGCCAAAGTGATCTAAACCTATACGCCAAACCATGCAAAAAAGAGCTCTAAACCAGAAACAAACTGTCATCACTGTTCAACGGGCTGCAGGATGATGTTGTCAATCAACCTGACCGCTGGGCCGCCACTGTGACCAAGGTCCTCTCCCTCCTGCGGAGCCTCGACGGGAAGCATCTTGACTGCACCGCTGAGAATGCCTCCCTTGGCCGGATCGACGACTTGCAGCTCCTCCATCGTGTCGGGGTCGGCAAGCGAGATGTAGTCGACCTCAAATTGCACCCTCTTCTCCGGACCGAGAGCCATCTGCTTCGCCAGCGCGTCATTGACGGACTTCTCTGCCGCACCCAACACCGAACTCCGGTCTCTCTCACCACTCTTGTAGGCCTCCTCGGCGGCTCTCAGAGCCTGGTACAGCACAGTAGCCACCGCCCTCCGCCTCTCCCCCAGGTACACATTCCTCGAGCTCAGCGCGAGCCCATCCTCGGCGCGGGTCGTCGGGCCCACGACCACCTCGATCGGCAGCATAAAGTCCCTGACCAGCCTCCGGATGACGACCGTCTGCTGCACGTCCTTCTGCCCAAAGTACACCCGCTCCGGCTGCACAATGTTGAACAGCTTCATGCACACCGTCGCGACGCCGCGGAAGAAGGTCGGCCGCGTCTTGCCCTCCAGCACCTCCCCGACGGGCGTAATGGTCACAAAGCTCCCCTTGCTGTCACCCTCCTGCCCCGGGAACCCGCCCGGGTACATCTCGGCGGTGGTGGGCGCGAACACGGCGCTGATCCGCCCGAGGTTCTCCCCGTCGTCGGCCAGCTCGCGGTCCAGCCTCACCAGCTCGGCCACGTCGGCGTCCCACGTGACGGGGTACGAGGCCAGGTCCTCGCGCACGCCGAACTGGGCCGGGTTGACGTAGACGGACACGACGACGTGGTGGTTCTCGCGGGCGGCGGCGCGGATGAGCGAGAGGTGGCCCGCGTGCAGGGCGCCCATGGTGGGCACCAGGGCGACGGACCGCTGGTCGAGGGTGTGCGGGCGGCGCCAGCGGCGGAGGGCCTCGACGGTGCGGAGGACGCGGATGGAGGAGGAGGGGAGCTTTTCGAGGCCGCCCCGGGACGGGGAGGAGGAGGAGGAGGAGGAGGAGGAGGAGCAAGCGCGGGACGCCATTGTGCGAACGGATGGGGTTCGGACGAGGATTTGTTGGGCGTGCGGGGGAGGTTGGGTGGAGGAGAGAGCGAGGGACTGCCGGATCAGGAGAGCACGCGACCGGACGAGAGCGATGGCGGGGCGGGCAGCGTGCCGGAGGAGGGGCAGCGTCGGCTGCATCGGGATGGCGGCAGGTGCGCGAGGTGGTTGTCTCTACCAAGATTGAAAGAAAGTAGAATCGCAGGAAGAGTGGAATCACATAGCCACAGTCGCCGGCGCAATTGGGGCTGGATTTATAACGAGGGCATCCTGTGATGGTTTCTGCAGCGGAGTTTTGAGGACGGCTTGATGCCATGTCCAGGGTCGTCTCCAAAACTTTGACAGGGGCATCAGCCGAGACGGACCGGGGTTTTTGCAGGGGTAAGATCTAATCTCGAGAGTGGGTCTTCGCTCTGGGCCTTCCATCATTCCATCTCTGGATGCTTGCACTCAGCAACTTGGTAAGGTTTGGTCATGTTATGAGATCGGACGGGCCTGCAAAAAATGTCACACTTAGGATCTACCAAACAGCTACTCATCAAGGGGTAAAAAACGAGTGAAAGAAGAGAACCAATGCCAACACTCCCCGGAGCAACACTAGCCCCGATGCCACTTGTGTACAGTCCCATTCACATGCCCGCCGCCACCTTGCTCTCCCCCATTCCCACCCCCAATCTCCCCTCCAGTCTCACCATCACCCCCGCTCCCCTCCCCGACCTCCACCGTCCCGGCCCCAAACTCCCCCCCCGGCGCCGGCGCACCCCCCATATCAACCGTAAACCCCTCGGTGCTCTCAAACCCCTCCACCCGCCCCAGCAACACCTCCACCATGCGGAACGCCACCGCCGGCTGATCCATGGCCAGCAAATGCCCCGCCATGGCCGCCCCGAACCACGTCAGGCCCCGCTCGCTGTGGCTCGACCCGACCACCCCGGCGCCCGTCGCGACGGCGGCGCCGGGCAACGCCCCGTTGTCGTGGAACGGCACGAACAGCGGCTCTTCGGGCTTGGCCTGGAACCCCATCGCGCCCTGCCACGTCAGGTTCTGGATGGTGAGCAGCGTCGCCTCGGGCAGGACGAGGAAGTCGCGCGAGCCGTGGCCGAGGATGACGTTGCCCGTGCGCTCGATGATGCCTGGCAGGACGGGCTGGCTGCCCGGTCCCGAGTTGAGGGACTGGTCGATGTTGTTGGTGAAGACCGGGTTGACGGCAGGGTTCTGGCAGAAGGTCCAGGTCACGTTGGGGGGCGCGTTGAGGGCGGATTTGACGGTGGGGAGGTCGAAGTAAGGGACCGGGAAGGAGGGTGGGAGGGTGAATGTGCCGCCGGCGAAACCAATGGGGTCTGGGGAAATGGGTTAGCTGGTTGGTGTTGTGGGTGATGGAAGAGAGCATGAGTGCTTACCGAACAGGATCGGGCAGTGCGACGTGACGTCAAAGGCATTGAGGCATGGGTTGAGTTCTTTTGCGGCGAGGAAGACGGCGATGTACAGCGCGCATTCCGGCTTGGCGAGGCCTGTAAGGGGGTCCTCGCCTGGGAGGATGGACGGCTGCGGTCCTGCTGGCGGAAAGACGAGGAACTCGTCGAGGTACGCCGTGTACCCGCACTGCTCGTCGATGGCCTTGATGCCGGCCATGAACGTGTCGTTGAAGGGGAGGGCGGTCTGCCATTTGTTGACGAAGCTGGCGACCGGGATGTCCTCGGTGAGCGGGATCTTGGAATACAGGCCGTCCCACACGGCCATGCCCGAGACGTTGAAGTACTCCTTGTCGTTCTGGTCGAGCATGGCGCTCGAAATGAAGGGCGCGTACATGCCCCCGTATGAGGAGCCCGTCACGTACACCGTGTACCCTTGGAGAGCGAACGTGTCGACAAAGTTCTTCCACCACCCGAGGAATTGCTGGGCCACGTCCTCCTCACTTGCCGCGGTGGGAATGCCCTGCGAGAATCCGGTGCCGACCGGCTGGTCGATCCAGACGACGTTCGTGAGACGGTGCCAGCTCCAGTTGTTCTGAATGGGCTCCAAGGTCCCCGGCGGCCACGACAGCGGGCCATTCTGCTGGAGCAGTTCACCAATTGAGGAGCATCCTGGACCCCCGGTAAGGTAGATCAAGATTTCCTTGTTCTGCTGCGCAACCGGATTCGTCGAAGGGAAGAACCAAAAGTACAGCTCGCTGCTGGTGTCGTTTCCTATCGGGAGCAATCCAGCATACGACTCGCCCACGTCAAAGTCGACGAGGGGGATGCCCGTGCCGTTGACGGCAAAACCTGAGCATGTTAGCCGTGTTTGTGTAAGTGAATTTCACTGCTCAACTCACCCTTTGAACGCTCATTGAGGAAGAGCGGCTGGACCTGGGGTTGGGTCTGGTTGATGGCCGTCTGGTTGCTAAACGAGCGGCCCTTGACACATGTCGAGCAATGGCGTTGAGAGTATCCCAACGCAGGGACGGCGAACGCCGGAATGAGTGACGCAAGAGTCCAACGCATCGTGGAAGTAGTGTAAATGAAAGGCCGGGAAGGAGATACGACCGTCTCTCAATGGTACCAGACAGCGCCGCAACTTCCCTCGTCTTCTTCACCTTCGCTAGAGCGATATTAAGGACATACAACGAACGGCTGATGCTCTCGAAGCACTGTTGAAAGGAACGCTGCCTTGTTGATATATTGCTGGTTTGGGTTGTCCTTCAGCTCGGACCCGGGCGAGTCAGGAGTGCCCCTGGCCTGGTGGCAAGGTGTTTTCAAGGTCGTCGCTGCTGGCAAATCCGGGGAGTCAGGAACGAAAGTGGACTTGGATTCCCTGAGACGCAGACTCTACTATCAAACGATGCCCGCACTCAAACCAGACAGCGGCCTTATATTCTTGCAACATGGAGGCGAACGTGTGAACGAGATTCCAACATCGAGCCGTGTTCTCGACTCCCCGGCTCCAGGGTTGCCATTCTCCATCATGGAATTCGCCCGCACAATAGCAAGAGCAAACGACTCGAGAATGGGTGCGGGGACAGGAGAAAGAGCAGCCGCAGGGGTGGACAACACGAGAGAGGCTGGACTGGCAACTGCTGCTTTTCTTGTTGTCGGTGGACTTCCGAGGTCTTTGAAGTTGCACTTCAGAGACGTGATTGACACATGACAAACAACAGGGCCATGAGGCTAAAAATGTCGTCCTGCAGGCGGCAGCAAGTGTCTGCGATGCTGGGCTTTGTGCATGCATCGCTAACTGACAGCTGGCACAGGGGTCTTTCCTGGTTTGCTGACGTCTTGTCAAAATGGAAGGTGCTTCGAAGGTCGCCTCCGACAACAAAGATCTGCCCCTGCACAACCTTCCGTCCCATCTTGTGAAGAAACGTTGTGTTCAGACTGTGTTTCACAGACTTCAAAACGAAACATCCTGGGGCCGTGGACCCATGTCAACGGGAAAAAACGGATCCAGAGGTGGAAACAGCAAAAGTTAGTGACAAGAGTGGGATTCGAACCCACGCCCTTTCGGACTGCGAATCGGGAGAACCTGAACACAGCGCCTTAGACCGCTCGGCCATCTTGCCTTGCTTGTTGTTGAAGACCGAAGCGAACGCAGGGCTCAGGTACGGCGTGGCAACGCCCGCCATGACCCATCCCTTCCTCTCCAAATCCCTCTTCCCTCATCACCTCCATGGTCCAAAAACACGCCCTGCCCACCTAGCACGACATCCGGCTAACCTCAATGCTTCTCAAGTCACGAAAAAGTCGTCACTTGGCCATTTCTCGATTCCAATCTCCCACGGTCGTCCGTCTCTCATGCCTTCTCCCCATTTTCGCCCTTGCGATCCACACCACCGCCCGGAGTCCTAAGCCCTGGGATGGATCCACCGCAGCTTGCCATTTCAGCCAAATCCCCCACAACCAATGTCTCCATGGTAGGGCAACGTGCCAGAGTGGTTAATGGGTACGCCTCGAAAGCGTATGGCTTCGGCCGCAGCGGTTCGAATCCGCTCGTTGTCGCTTCTCACATCCTCATCTTTTTACTCTGTCTTCTCTCGTGATGAAGCGTTAGTGGTATCCAACTTTTTGCCTGCCAGAGGAGCCCTAGAGCATTCTCAAGTCAAGATTCAGGGTATGTAAACCTTGAGAACGGCCAGCGTAAGTTCCCAAATCGTGAGGAGGAGGGAGTCAAGGAAAGGGCGAGTGCCTTGCTTGAACAATGTCTATTTGTATCCATGAACCGCTAGCGAGCTACCCGAGCATTAAGAAAACCAGCACTGCCAACAGCGAACGGACTGGCGCCCGAACCGATCGCCAAGCTAACTCAGAAGAATGTCTGTTCTTCGAGAGTTACCAGCCCCTCGCCCCTCCATTTCGCGCCTACAGAGAGACACGTCAGCTCCAACCCAAGCACCTTCTCAGACAAGAACTAGCAGCCATGTTTCCCACCTCCCCCAGCCGTCTTCCCCAACACCATCACCCAAAAGCCGAGCTCAACACAGGCGTCCAACCCCCAAACCGTCCCCCATGGCTCCCCAACGTCGACCGCCCCCGCCCCAGCGCCCAGTCCAGCAACCCGCCCCGACCCCGACCCTGATCCCCAATCTTGACACTCCCAACCTCATCCTTGCCACTGCTCCCCCAATCCTCGCGTCGTCGGAGGGCCCCATCTCTCTCGCCCCCGCTCCTCCCCTCCCTCCCCTCATCACCACCCTCACCCGCACTCACCTTACAGGCCCGGCAGCACTACTTATCAGTGGGACGACGAGAGCTCGAAGACGCCAACGGCGAAGTGGGAGGGGAGGAAGTATGCGAGGACTGCGGGTTCGGCCCGCCGTGGGGCAGCGAGGGGTACGAGATCTTGGGGCGGCCACGCTTTTTGTGATGGTGGTGGTGACGTTGGTGAGGCCGCTGGTGTGGATGGCGGGACGACGACGGGGAGCCGTCGTCGTCTGGTACTTGGCTCGATGAGGCGATGGCGGTGCCGCCGGTACCGGTACCTGTACCGGCCACGCGTGACAGGGGGATATGAGTCCGTGGTGAGGGCGGGGAGGTCGGCGATTGGTAGAGGCGTTGCTGTTGCTGGCGGGAGAGCGGGGCTGGGAGTGTGATTTTCGGGGGCGCCTTGGAGCGGTACGAGTTTGAGGGCCCTGCTTGGGAGGACAGGGCGGAGGGGGCGAGAGATATGCCTGGGGGGAGGCAGTCTGGTTCGCGGGCCCCGGCGAGGTGGTCTTCGAGATGGGAGGCTGGAAAGTAGTAAGTTGGCTGGTTTGGTCTCAGCTGCACAACGGGTGGTCGGTTATTGGGCGCGGTGGCGTGGACGATTGGCGGGAGAGGCTCAGGGGGTTGAAGAGCTCGATCTGGCGAGGGGGATCGGCGCCAAAAGTGCTCGCGAACTCTCCGGAGCCGTCGGCGCCATTTTCCCGTGCCCATCTTCGAGAAGCTGAAGCGAGAGTGATGGTGCCACTGCTGTCTAGCAACTGTCGTCTTTGGGAGTACGTTTGGAGGGGTTAAGAGTCCCTCTGACGCCCGTTTGATGCCGGCAAGATTAATAAAACGAATGTAAAGTCTGTCGATCCAGAACAAGCGAGTGACTGAAGCTGTGAGCTACCTTTGGTGATTGGAGATGCGAGAGATTAACAGCGGCAAAATGGGAATGTAGATCAACCTAGCTGGACTCATCCTGCCTTCCGGTCTCGCGAACTGCCACGTCCTCAGCGGGATTGATGCCAAGGAAGGAGAGGATCGGTAGTGGCCTAGAAACCGACATCGATTTGGGCCTTCCGATAGCTTTGGTTCCGTATCTTACTTTCCGCTCTTTCGAAATAGGTTCCGCATCGTGCGCAATCCAGGAGTGGAATATGCATGAACTCGGAGGACATTCAACGAAAATAACCAAGGAAACCTCGCACGGGAACGATGGTGACAGCCATTTGATACATGAGAATGAAGCTTTAAAAAACACCGAACTCCATTTGTTTCGTTAGATACAGTCTCTCGCCAAAAGTGGCCAGTGTCCATATTGCAAGTCTTTTGAGGGGAGAAAAGAAGCTGCGCAGCACACCTCTGTCACGCCCTCTTTCTCTCTGCTCATCCAAATCGAAAATCCCCTGTCTCCAAACATATCTGCGTCAAGAAGTGCCCAGCTTGCCAGCTCAGAGCTCAACCACAACAGTCTGCCCATAAACAGGGGTCACCCCATCCCCCCAGATACCAACAACCGAGAGCAGGAAGCCCAGCCCGGCCAGCGCGCTCCTGACAATCTGCTTCTTGAGGAAAGCCTCGACATCAGCCCTCACCTCCTCGCCGTTCACGCTCCCCTCCTCGCGCCTCTCCTCGGCCTCCACCTCCTCTCCATTGCTCCCCTCGCTGTGCGCATCCGATCCGCCGCTGCCAAGCACCTCGTAGCTCGCCTCCATCCTCGCCTGCGCCGCGGCAGCGCGCTTCCCCCGCTCCCTCTGCTTGTATCCGTTCGCAGCCGCGATGACGGAAGGAGAAGGCTTCGAGCGGGCGGGGCCCAGGTTCAGCAGGTAGGGTGCAATGAAGTCGGAGGCAGCGAGCTGCGACGCGAGGACGAGGGTCGAGGCATAGAGAAGGTAGGGATGACGCAGCGGGCGCGGAGAGAGGAAGTAGGCGAGGGCAAAGGCAGAGGAGGAGAGGGTGGTGAGGGAGCTGAGATGGCGGGTCGCCGAGGTGGTGAGGGCGTCAAAGACGCGCGAGGCGGTGCCGGCGGAGTGGAGGGTCAAGAGGGCGGGGATGGTGAGAGAGGAGAGCGTGTAGGACAGGCCCTAGGCTTCCGTCAGCACTGCGATACGTTGAGAGGGTAATTGCACGATGAGGCAGTTTGGAATGACTGCATCACGCAACGCGGGGAACAGGTCCGCAGCGCAACCTGACGTACCGTCAGGACACCGAGCGACACGGTGCCGACAAACTTAAGCACCGAAACGCCCCTCGCAGCCATGGTTGCTATCGTCTGTCGTCACGACCGATGATTCGCGCAGGCGTTGAGAGAACAGTTATGGGAGGTGGATGTCAGATGCGTTGGGCTGGGGGAGTCCAAGAGCTGCAGCACATGGTTGACGATATGGCGTGGGGGAGAGGAGAAGAGAGGGGCCTCGGGAGCTTGGCGCTTCGGGAGCCAACCTGGGGGCGCCAAGCATGGGCCCATCACACTGCGTCATCATTAAGCGGGCGGCAGGGATGAGCCCTTGGTCCCCGAGTGAGCCCTAACCCCCTGCAGATTTCGACAACCCTATATCAGGGGTAAATTCAAAGTCGCAAAACATCCCTGTCAAAGGCAACGTGCCAGAGTGGTTAATGGGTACGCCTCGAAAGCGTATGGCTTCGGCCGCAGCGGTTCGAATCCGCTCGTTGTCGATTACTTTTGCTGTTTCCTCCTTTTTCATCGTTGAGATTGTGCTGGGTTTGGGATGAAGGTGCGCGAACATTGTCACGCTGCAGTCCTGTCAGGCTGACTGCATTCTGCAGGGTCCATATTTGCGTGAAGAATGCAGTCTCAGCACGTAAAGCATGGGCTGAAGACGAGCGATAAGCTCAAGTGCTTCAGCTCTGGTTGCCGATGAAGAACCTCGCAGGGTTGAGTTTCTTAACCGCTTCATCAACCTTTGGGGTGAGGAAACAACAAATCCAGTGAGGGCAGCGTGAGGAAGAAAACCTGTCCCTTGCTCCTCGCTAGACGATAAACTGACACAAACTCCATCTTCACCATCCCAGAGTAGCATCCAGACTTCTATCTATTCCCTGCCCAGTTAAACCGGCTACTCAATAGCCAACCTCCAAAGCCCATCGCCAAGATAATGCGCCTCCTCCATCACCGGCCCCTTCCCCTTCGCCTTGACCTCCTTGGTTCCCATCACCAACACCCCAACCGCAGCAGCCTCCTCCTTCCCCTCGGCCATAACCACAACCGGCTCTCCCTTCTCCAGTTCCCTGCTCCAGTGCCCGTCCTCATCCGGCCCCTCATTCGGCACCTTCACCTCATCCTCATCATCCTCGTCCTCTTCATCCGCCTTCTTAACTTCCTCCTTCTTCCCACCAGCAGCAGCATCGCGATCCACCACAATCGGCAGCCGGCCACCGGCACTCGTCAGCCCGGGCGCCATGAGCGTCGCGCCGCTCAGCACGAAGCGGATCGCGCCGCGGTCGATGCGGATGGTGGGGAAGCACGCCGGGAAGCGGTGGACGAGGCGCAGGTGCGGGAGCAGCACGCCATTGTTGTCCTGCTGGTAGACGATCGGGTTGTTGTCGATGACGTACAGCGAGACGCGGTCGGGCAGCTTGATCAGCTCGAGCGACGACTTCTTGGGGAGTACCTCGTCGATGTGCGGGGTCAGGAGCGGGTAGGTGGACAGGATCGAGTTGCGGATGGAGCGTTGGATCGAGGATTTGAGTTTTTGCTTCGGAGAGCCGTGGAGGCTGTTTGAGGAAAGAGAAAAGGAGGTTGATTAGCATGGGGTCGGGTTTGAAGAGGGGAGGGACTTGGAAAGGTTCGAGGGGCGGGGCGCATACTCCTTCTTGAACATGGTGGGTATATGACTGAGCAGTGTGCTGCTCTGGCGAT